AATGATTTTGAGGAAATGTAATATAGAATTTAATTATATCTCTATGTTATTTAACAGTCACCAAATTCCACCACTAGAAGCAGATGATACCTGGCACCCTCTGCCAGCAGATACTAACAATGGGTTGTTGAAACATATCAATAGTTGAAAGAAAATGATATGTATGTATGTTTGCATGTATGTCTGAAAAAACATGCATTGCAATGATTGAATAACCTAAAGTGTAAAAGCCCATATAGGAATCAAAGTAGAGAATCAATTTACAAAAAACCCATCACTTTGACAAGTGTAATTAATGTAAATATTTAGGCACAATAGGATATCATTTTATTTGTGTTAATAAAGAAAGGTAGCAGTCTTAACCATATGCTGCTTATGGTGATATCACTTTGGAACAAAAAAGAAGTCAAAAGAAACATAAGAATTACATCTCCTATTTTGCTTTCTCATTTTTGCATTAGACCCAGCCACTTTCTTTATGTAATGAGAGGTGCCATCCTGGCTTTAGGAAGAAAGTGAAGGACGGGAAACCATTTTGCTGTTATGATTGCATCCCATGTCCTGAAGGGAAGATTTCAGACCAGGAGGGTAAGAATTAAGTATATATTGTATTACTCGACACAATTGTTCCGACTTAAAGACAGAGGAAAGTGCCTATATCACAGTTACTTTTTTTAATGTTTGAAGTGTTTGGAATGTGCAGCCATTAATGTGCAGAAGCGGCTTAGTCCTGCTGGCCACATGACCTGGAAGCTGTATGCCGGCTCCCTCGGCCAATAAAGCGAGATGAGCGCCGCAACCCCAGAGTCTGTCACGACTGGACCTAATGGTCAGGGGTCCCTATTATCATTAGCTTCAGGTTACTCACATCAGTTTCTATCAAGAAATGATAATGCCTTCTGAGTAGTTATCTGAAGGGAGGTACTGGTGATATTTAGGAAAGAATGTAACTTTCAATGGGAGGGTTGAATTGTTCATGGATGGCAGCCATTAAACGCCCCAACCTAGGCATTATGTATCCAATACTTTAAACATATTCACATGCACTTTGCACCAGGTTGGGGGGTGATGTAGGATGCAGGAAGGGGAGGAAGGCATCAGGGCTTGCAGAGGAAGTATGCCACCCTGTGAGAACTTGGATCCTGAGCCAGCACCTCTGCCACCATTGGGACTGATTTGGTCTGAACACTCTGACACAGGCCCACACTGGTAAAGCAATGGCAGGCTGGTGGGGGGTAGGATAGAATTGCACACTAATATTACATCTATTCAACAACACTTTGTATTGAGACTCCCAAACTTTTGTAAGATAGCTAACGTACTAATTTCTACATAATAACACAGAGAGAGAGAGAGAGACATCTGATTTTGGATATTGCACATATATCTGCAGCACTGGGAGGGAGAAGCAGTTTCCTTTGAGACTGCGGATGATCTAGAGATTTTACGCTGGAGCAAGTAGTGCTAGCACCACTCATCAGCTGACTGCTCCAGCAAAGGAAAGAAGGGGAGCTCATTTTTGGCTTCTGATTATTACCACATTGAAGCCCTAGACTTACCTGCACGACATCCTGATATCTGGTGCAAGGCAGGTGGACATGGCATATTCAAAGGAGCCCCAAGAGTCAAATTAGGAGGCCTGGCACGTCAAGTTTGGACTGCAGGCAGCAGGTTCACCACCCCTACTCTAGTGAAAGGCATAGCAGTTCAAGTCACAGTGGAGTAGTTTTGATGAGGGTGGAGTGTGACTTCACCTGGCACCATCATTACTGCACTTAGGTGGTATGCCTACAAGTGATGGAAAGGGTAAACACATGCTGACACCATGAGATGTTTGAAGAACATAAGTGAATTTTAAAATGATCTTTCTGATCCCCCTCAGACTAGATGCTGGCAACTTGCAGCTCCGGGCCTGTTTGCTTTGCCATCCTGGGAGCTGGCATAGCACAAATATAAAAATTTATTGCTCCTCTACTATTGTCCTAGCCTGCGTTAGATGCTGTGCTATGGATGTATACCATTTAAACAAGGCCACCAAAGCAAATTAACTGTGACTTAGTAATCCCACGTTCTGTACCACTTAGAGGATGAGTGATACTTTTCATACTGCATGTGCGGAATGAAGTATGGACAAAAATATGTTCTCTGTTTGCAAAAAGAACAACCAAATTATAACTCTTTCCCCGCTCAAATTAATACCACATGCCTTCTTTTTCAGACATGAATGATTGTAATAAATGCTCAGAAGAAGAATATCCAAACACAAATCGGGATATGTGCATTCCCAAGGAAATAAGCTTCTTGTCTTTTGAAGAAACTTTGGGGAGCATTTTAGTCTGCTTTGTTCTTTCCTTTTCTTTGGTTACAGCTCTGGTGCTGTGGACATTTCTAAAGCACCACAGCACACCCATTGTCAAAGCCAACAATCGGGACCTCACCTACACTCTCCTCATCGCCCTTCTCTTCTGCTTCCTTTGTGCATTGCTATTCATCGGAAAGCCTGCGAAGTTGACATGCCTCCTCCGACAAACAACATTTGGCATCATCTTCTCAGTAGCTGTTTCTTGCGTGTTAGCAAAAACCATCACAGTAGTTCTGGCTTTTATGGCCACCAAACCAGGATCCAAGATGAGGAAGTGGGTGGGGAAGAGAACAACCACTTCCATTGTGGCTTCCAGCTCCCTTATTCAAGCAGCTTTCTGTACTGTGTGGCTTGGATTCTCACCCCCATTCCCAGATGTTGACACACACTCGTTGACTAAAGAAGTCGTACTAGAATGTAATGAGGGATCTGTCGCTATGTTTTACTGTGTCCTGGGCTACATGGGCTTCCTGGCTATTGTCAGCTTCACTGTGGCTTTCCTTGCCCGGAAGTTACCTGACAGTTTCAACGAAGCCAAGTTCATCACTTTCAGCATGCTGGTTTTTTGCAGTGTTTGGCTGTCCTTTATTCCCTCCTACCTGAGCACCAAGGGAAAATACATGGTAGCTGTGGAGATCTTTTCTATCTTAGCCTCCAGTGCTGGTCTGCTGTGCTGCATCTTTGCCCCCAAATGCTACATTATCGTGTTACGGCCTGAGCTGAACAACAGGGAACATCTAATAAGAAATAAGGCCTGAAGAATTTGTGCACCTTCATGTTTTAGAACTCTGGAGTTTTGCTTTTGTTTGCATATCAGAATATTTGTAAGAGCTTCCCTTTCAGCAGGTTCCATAAATATGTTTTCCTACAGATGTCACTCTGTTTTTAAATTTATAATCTGTTCTTCACTGTAAAAGGCTCTCTATGTGGGTAGTATTCAAAAATAACAACATTAAATCAATTCAAAACTAGAGCAAATGATCTTTAAACTACAATTTTCATTCTATATTGTTGGAACAAATAGCTAGTTGCATCAGGCCTCCTCCATTATTTGTCTTCTAACAACAACAACAACATCAACAATACTCTGCCCATCTGACTGGGTTGCATTACATTACACATTGAAAGGCTTCCCTATACAGGGCTGCATTCAGGTGTCTCCTAAATGTTATATAGTTATCCATCTCATTGACAACTGATGGGAGGGTATTCCACAGGGTGGGTAACACTACCAAAAATCAACCTGTTCAGTCAGAAAGCTTGGTAAAGTGGAATGTGCTTTAATGGCAAAACCTTATATTATATAATTGCACATTATATTTAATTATTTTATTTAAATATTTGTATACCTTTTTTTACAAACTATATCAAAGCAATATGCAAGAATGTTAAACAATGAAATTAAGAAAGAAACAAATATATCATACTTTAGTCCAAAAATACACACCAAAAAGTAAGCTAATTAATCAAGAGTCTGCAAATACTTGGGCTAACAAGAATATGTTCAACCACTGGCAGAGCACATCACAGAAGGTGCCCACCAAATCACTAAATGAATAATATTCCATAATATAGGTGCCACCACAGATAATGCTCTGGGTTATATTGCAGAATAATGTTTACTAGTTTTGAATTTAATTGGATTAGTGTTTTATTTGTTTGCATCTCATTGAATTGTTAAATAAATAAAAGTATAAAATAGAATAAAACAGGAGTAAGGAGAATTCATAGGGCTTATTTCATTAGAATCACCAATTGATTTTTTTAAAAAAAAAACCAGGGAGGAACCATTCAGGGACTCTTTCACATATACACAGGAAGGTGGCAGGCCATAATACAAACAATGTCTATAGCTCAATGGATCACAAGTGGTTCACATTTCATCATGTCAATCAAACTCATAGTTGCCTGATAACAGGAATTGTCAAAGAAACATGTGTGACATAACACAAGGTGGCGGTTGTGGGGACAAAACACAATGACTTTAATGTCAGAGCAGGTGACCCAATGCAAACATTGGTAATATCTGTGAATATTGATGGCATATTCACAAAGAAACTTCACTCCTATCATTGGAAGTACAGGTGGGCACAGTAGCACTCACAGGCACCATGTTGGTCACCCTTGAATACAGTCTTCTTTTCTTACTGGGGGGTCATTACAAGCTCTGCCATCTGTTCCTATCTAAGAGAGATAATTCATCTGAGAAAGCGTGTTCTCCTTCATGGAGAGCACGTGTTGCGGTGGGGGCCGCCAGGACACTCCAAAGTTGGGGGCGGGCTAATTGTTCCTTGGCCACTGATGCGATTGGGGCTTCCCTTGTTGTTGGGAAGAAGTTAATGTTGCCATTTGTTGACTGACAGCCAGAAATGCTAAAACTCCTTGCACGAGGCTAGGGCTTCCTCTTTTCGACAGTGCATCGGATTGATCACAGCGAAAGGAGACGGTTGTCTGCTTTTAATGTCTGATGCATTACTGTATTTTAATATTTTGTTGGAAGCCACCCAAGGGAAGCCCAGTTAGATGGGCGGGGCATATTTTATTTTTTATTATTATTATTATTATTAGGGAGTGGACTAGCAGATTGTTGGTGTCCCTTCCAACTCTACGATTCTATAAGTAGCAATTCCTATGATGGGAATGTTAGTCGCAGGGCTGCCATCATCCCCACAGCTTGCTGGGATCGCAGGGACGGGGACGTGTGGACCACTTGCGCAGCTCCACATTTCAAATGGAAATTCCCTGAGCAGTAGAACCTGAAACTAGTGTGCAGGAAGCTGGCCCGGCGGCAGCTTTGTTGTTTAGGGGTTCTGGACAGCGTCAGCCCTGTAAATTCACACATCTTAGGTGGCAGCACAAGACGCCCCCTGCCCAAGCGGGGGCTTGGAGCTGGCAAGCAATAGCTCCTTATCTCTGGCCCCTATTCCCATAAAATTATCTCCCTTGAAAGCCTGGCTAAAAGGTTATCTAGAGGGGTCAGCGACTTTGTGCTTGTGGGAAGGGTTTTCTCAAGGTTTAGGATTCCTCTGGCTTTTCAGCCAGTGGCTCGGAATACAGCAAATCAAAAGTCAGTTAGAGAGCCACCTGAGGTAGCCAGAAAGAAGGTCAGGTAGCAGCTTGCATTGGGACGTATGGTGGGACCCCTAAAAAAGCACCATATAATTCCATCTGATCCTTATTTATCGCATCCCTAAGGCACCTCAGTGAATGACGCTATCCTTAAGGAATTGTTCCGTGAAGTTCACGTCTTTGGAGCAGGCGGTTGAGCTTACCACAAAATTGGAAGAGGTGCCTTGTTGGCAATATGCTATATTGAATCGGCTGTTAGGCTGCTGCTGGTTCACCCGCGAGATTTTAAGTGGTTGGGCTTTAATTTGGATGGTGCTCCTTATATTGATAAGGCGATGCCGATGGGTTGCGCAATAGACTGTGCAGCTCTCGAGTCCTTTAGCGCCTTTCTGGATTGAACAGTGTGAGTCTATACTCATTTAACTGGGGGTACCATTTTTTGGATTATTTTACTGGCTGGTTCTTGTGACACCAGCCTCTGTGTAGGCTTGCTAGACATCCTTTATTCCCTCTGAGGAGCTGGGTGTTTCATAGGCAGTGGATGGGTCCCCCTCTTAATATTTGGGGGTTAGCTGGATACCGTTGCTCAAACATCTGCTTGCCTGTGGGGAAGCTGTTTGCCTTCAAGGAAGTTATCTTGTTATACTTCTTCTGAAGCAAGTGTTGCTTTGTCAAATCCTATCATTTGCTAGGTCAGTTAAATTAATTTTGCATGCAGATTGGTTGCCCCAGGCCGCCCCTTCCATTCCTGCTTGGCCAGGCTGCCTGTGGCCCGAGGTCCCCTTACCTTCGTGTACGCTTACCAAGTGAGGTCAAGGCGGATCTCATGCGGTGGTTGCAGTTCCTAAATGGATGCAATAGTAGTTCACCATGGCAGGATACCTTGAACCTGCACAGCGATTTTCAGGTTCATGCTGATGCTGCTGGATCTTTGGCCTTTGGTTTTTATTTCAGGGGCTGTTGGTGTGCAAAGCCATGGCCTCAAGCCTGGTGTGGTGAGGCTATCATGTGACCTAACTTTGCTTGAGTTTTCCCCATTGTAGTAGCAGTTCACATCTGGACCGAGGAGTTCAGTGACCGTCGGATCTGCTTTTGGTCTGATAACCAGGCAGTGGTGAGCATCTTGGCAGAACAGTCCACATGCTCCAGCAGAGTCTCCGCCCCTCCGCTCACGCTTTTGAGCTGCACTGCTTAAGGTTTAATATTGTGCTTGCTGCTCACCTGCTAACAGGATCCTCTAATGATATTGGTGACACTCTATCTCATTTTCAGATGGAGTGCTTCAGATCCTGGGCTCCAGACTCTCAGCTATTGCCGGACTTTTCTGGACCACCTGTTGCACTTTGACAACAATTAGTAATTACAGGGAGTAGCAGATTCCATTCCCCTTCTGCTTTTAGCTCTTATGAGGAGGCCTGGACTGATTTCTTAGGGTTTAGTTGACAGCCCTTGGCCATTCAGAGGAACTTGCCCCCATCCGCTGAGCAGATCCTGCAGGATTTGGCACACTTGCTGCAGATTGGATGTGCTGTAAACACTATCAGAATTCAGTCCGCTGCAATGTCTGCTATAGTGAAGCTTAATTTTTCAGAGACCCTTGAAAAAAGTTTGTCGTGCACAGGGCCTTGAACGGTTGGAATAGGCTCCAACTTCATAGGTTGGCGCACCTCTTCCAATTGGGCCGAGTGGCCAGGACGCTCAGGATCCAACCGGCGGCCATTTCCTTTTTCTGCAAAGCCTTTTTTAATAAAGACCCTTGCGCCAAATTTGTGGTGCGCAAGGCTGTGGAAGGCTGGGGTAGCCTGGGCACTCTATCCCCTGTGGTAAGGAAGCCTATAACTTTTGATTTGCTGACCAGCATGCGCTCAAAGTTGAGGAGCATTTGCTGGTTCAAATATGAAGCACGGCGTTTTTCAGCCGCCTTTTCCTTATCCTTTTTTGGCGCCCCGAGGGTAGGTGAGGTGGTATTGGAGTTCACCCGCGGCAGAGAGTCAAGGGGACTGCTTTTGCAGGACGTAACTCTATCCCCTTTGGAGGTGGTCCTGTTTATCCGGAATTTGAAGACAGACCAGTTAGGCAGGGGTGCCACTCTTAGGGTGCCTGCCACTGGAAATAAGGGTCCTTGCCCGGTTAAGGATACCTCCAGGTATTTGGATCTCAGGCCACGGGGGGAGGGTCCATTCCTTATTCATGAGGATGGTGCCCCGTTGACTACGCATCAATTTGCTAAGGTGATGTGGTAAGCGATTGCAGCTTGTGGTTTGAAAGCAGCAGGTTATGCTCCTCATTCTTCCGCAGTGGTGCTGCCACTACAGCAGCTCACTGGGGACTGTCTGTAGAAAGAATTAAGAACATGGGCCGTTGGAAGTCCAATGCATTTTGTGGATATGTGCATAGACATTGTTGTTCACCCATACTTATATTTGCTTGTCTTCTCTTAGGTGTGGCTGCTGTTCGCATTGTGGGCCACAGCATTGTCTACTGGGTATCAGAGCAAGGGAGTCTGGACTTGGACTCAGTCTTGGCCTTTCCTCAACACGCACAAGTGTCTTGGCTGTCCAGGCATAGAATGCTGTGGGCCGAATTGCTTCCCCTTGTTCGGAAGCATGTGAGGTTGGAGAGGCCCCCTACAGCTATCGTGCTGCAGTTAGGGGGAAATGATCTGCTTGCCACAGACTGTTGTTCTTTACGTTTTACAGTTCAAAAGGACCTGGCTGAATTGGCAGAGTTTTTGCTGGGTGTGAAAGTTTTTTGGTCCCAGTTGCTGCACCTGGCGTGGCAGTCGCTGTCCAGCCGCCACTGATGGAGCCAGAAAGCGTGTTAATAAGGTGGCAATGAAAGCAGTCATTGCTCATGGTGGTTCTGTGATTGAGCACCCCAATATCACCTTCAAGGCGGCCGTCCTTTTCAGGGACGATGGTGTGCATCTTTCCCCGTTGGGAAATGACACATTGTTAAATTCTGTTGTGTGGGTTTGAAGGTGGGGCTGCAGTTGTGAGTGGTTGGCGACGAGCTTGAGTGCTCGGTGGCAGTTAGGCATTGGTTTATGGTTTGGTTGGTTGAGGGGAAGTGGTTGAGTGCCTGCCCTTGGTAGGTTGAGTGCCTGCCCCTCTAATGCTGCTGCTGCAAGGGATTCCGTTAAAGGAATTGGGGGCTAACTATTGCTTGTCCACTCTGTCAAGGGGGCTCGGGCCATAGCAATGAGCTCCTGGTTGCATTTGGGGTGAGGGCAGGTTCCCTGCTCCGCGTAACCCCCAAGTGTATTCCCCTATTCTGACTTTCGCATTGTGCGGAATGTCAGTCTGTCCCCATGGTGGGGGCAGATAGTCGCAACCAATGCCTAAGCAACCACTCACAAATTTGTATTTCAATAAAGTTGTGGCCAAAATTATGCCAAAAATCTTAAACAAAAATTCTGTGTGATGTGTGAGTTATTGGGGTGGCCCTGGGGACCTCGACACGCAATATGTGACAAACAAGTTTTCTCAGTTCCATAGGGACTACCCAACCTTAACTCAACAGCTGCCTTTAACCCTATAACTATCTTCACAATTACCTCGTCAGAACTGTAATTAGTTCTGATATTCATTCAAACCCCAGTGGGATTTCAGTGTCCTCTCACAAAACAAAGAGCAAAGCCTGCGAAGCCTGCTATTAATATACCCAGTACAATTCAAAGGGAGGAAGGCAGACTAGGAACAGGCAAAGATCCACAACTCTGATCTTGGATATTCCAGGCTTTGGGAATATCAGGAAAATGTGAAATGTTCAAGTAAGAAGAAAACAGAGGATTTTGTATGTAGAGTGAAGATTTGGTCTTGTACTGAGAATGGTTTCAGTCATCCTGCTACTGTCCCTGTTTCCTCACATGACATGCGTAGCATATGCTGTCCAATGCAGCTTCCATTATCCACAAGCTCCAGTTCAGACTTATAACCAGCCAGGAAACTTCATCATTGGTGGCATTGCTTATCACGCCTGCATCGTCAACAGTAAAATACTTTTCACAGAAGAACCCCTTCCAACGTTGACAGAATCATTTGTGTAAGGCATTAAAAATCATTTCCTTTTCTGTCGACACTCAGATAATGAGTGAAGTTGTAGACCAACGTTTGGAGGAAGGTACCAGTTTTACTACCCCAAACCTAGCAGTTTCTCCTAATGTTTAGCAAAAAGTCTGCTCTTTTTTGCAATTCTCACTCATTACTCATTTCCCTTTGTAGCAACAGCAAATAAGCCTGCTCCACCTTCTTCCTGGTAGCTTATCAAATATTTGAAGACAGCTATCTTTTCTCCTCTTAAGCATTTCTTTTTCAGAATAAATATACACAGCTCATTCGACTTTTCAGTGTTGCTTGTTTTAGTAAATGATCTTTAGATACCCTACTCAGCATATGGTGTGTCATGTTCTGAACTTGAACACTAGTTTTGCTTATCTTTTAGGGCAAAGAGTTATTTAAGATTAACTGCTGTAATCATGAATAAATTAAAGGGACATTAGCACAGTGGAAATAATTAAGTTATGTGTGGAATATCATTTTGATACAGAATAAAACTCTCATTCTAGCATTGTGTCTAAGTATTACCAACACATCACAGCCTTGGTTTTTGCGGTAAAGGAGATCAATGAAAACCCTCAAATCTTACCCAATCTCACGTTGGGATTCAACATCTATGACAGCCATAACAATGCAAAGAAGACCTATCATGCCACAATGCTGCTTCTATCAGCTCTGGAAAGATTTATCCCTAACTACCTATGTGACAACCAGAAAAATCTAAAAGCTGTCATTGGGGGGCTAGATGCCCAAATTTCCATTAATGTCGCAAACCTCTTGAATAACTATAAGATTCCACAGGTAGGACATCTCTCTCTCTCTCTCTCTCTCTCTCTCTCTCTCTCTGTGGTATGGGAATTTAAGAGACACAGTTGATGTAGTCTTATGTTTCTGATGTCATTTCATTTTATTAATGAATTTTATTTTCAGTTTTCAAAAATTTACAAGTACACATCTTATAGTCACATACTTCCAATACAGATACATATCAAGCCCCCCAACTTTTGTGGTTTATTCTCTTAGATTTTTAACACTGCATTTTCCATTGTACTCCATTTTTTAGTTACTCTACAATTAATCTTGGTAACACTTTAAACTGCTTGGTTTAGGTTAACCCTACCAATGCACTTAGTTCCATATCATTATTTTTTCAGATATACCACAAATATTTCCCACTCCTTAAAAAAAAAATCCTCTTGGTTTCTTAGCACACCTGTTAATTTTGCCATTTTGGCATAATCCTTCAATTTAATCAGCTACTCTTCATTAGTTGGAACAGCATCCTCTTTCCATCTCTGGGCAAATGCCATTCTGGAGGTGGTTGTAGTAGACATAAACAAATTTCTAAGGTCCTTCAGAATTTCTGTATTCACTATCCATAAAAGAAAAGCTTCTAGCTTTTTTCTAAAATTTATTTTGAACATTTTCTTCAATTCATTATAAATCATCTCACAGAAAACTTGTGTTCTCTTACAGGACCAACTGATGTCATTTATGAGGTTGTCAGTACTGTCAGTATACCTGCTTTCCCTTTCCCCCTCACTTAGGATTTTTTTTTAGTTCAGAGTGATTTCTATTTCTATTTGCAGATTGCCCTGAACTTTATTTTATTACAAGTGCAATAAAAGTGCAGTTCAAGAGATGAAATACATTATAAGAGAAGTTGATATTTATGGTTCATTCATAGATGAGGAAAATTATAGGTGTGATACACAACTATATCGCCATAAACTATGTAAGAAGGAATCCTACTTTGCCATGTTAACTCTGATTTGAATTTGAAGCAAAACAAAAGTGCTCAAAGCTTGCATTGCTGTTATTCAGGCAACAGAGAAAGTTCAAAACAGGCAGTATACTTTCTGCACCCAACGACTACATGTTCCTATTTGGAAAAGTCAGTTGGCATTTATCTGTCTTGGGAGATAATGGAGGAGTGCGCCTTTGGAGGTGAAGTCAAACTGTTGGAAGGTTTGCCTGCTGTGGCTATCGAGAAACAACATTTCATTATTTATGTGAATCCACATGCTCTGGTAACCTCTAGATTAGATTACTGTAATGTATTATATGTGAGGCTGCCTCTAAAGATGGTCTGGTGAAGAATTTGGTAGCCAATGCAAGATGATTTGAGTATATAGCACTGATCCTGGCCCTACTGAACTAGTTGCGCGTCAAGCCCCCAAAACATAAAGACATGATGAAGACAGAATTTAGTTTAAATGTTAATGGGCAAATTTAGGCCACCACTTTATTGAATACACAAGTGTGACTGGTATTGGCTTAGGCGTTGGTATCAATGACTATAACTGGCTCCTGCCCCACCCTGCAGGGAAGCTGAAAGGGTAAACTACCAGCAGCGGGTGCTCCATCAATGGCTATTGACTGGTACTCACCCATGGGGTTCAGTCAGTTTATGGGCCCAATTCAAAGTGCTGATTTTGACCTATAAAGCCTTTAAAGGCTCAGGACCACAATACCTCGAAGACCACCCCTCCTCATATGAAGCAATCCAAACCCTGAGATCATCATCAGAGGCCCTTCTTCATGTGCCTCATCTGTGATAGGTCCAGAGGGTGGCAGCACAAGAACAGGCATTTTCTGTGCAATGTTCTTTCAAAGGAGGCTCGCCTGGCACCTTCATTGCATATCTTCAAGTGTCAGGCAAAAACATTTCTCTATAACCAGGCCTTTGGTTGATTAAGCAATCTATATCCTCATAAAATATGTTTGGGAAAGGAGGTTATTGGTTTGTTTTTGGTTTTTTTGTTATGTATTTTGTGTTCTCTCTCTCTCTCTCTCTCTCTCTCTCTCTCTATATATAGTTGCAAACTGCCCTGTGTTCTTGAGATGAAAGTTGCTATAGAAATGAAATTGACTAATCAATAAAGCACAAGAGGCAGACTAGCCTCCACTAAAGCCAGTGTCAATCCCTCTGTGTAGCCACAGTGTTTTAAATAGAAATACAGGTTATGTGGTATGCAATATAAATTCTGTTATTGTTGTCTTACTTCCCCATCCTGCAATCTCTCTTCAGCTCATATATGGCTCTGTGCCATTGATGAATGCTAAATCCTGTGGACGTTCTTTCTACCAGATGGTCCCCCAGGAATCCCTTCAGTACACAGGGATTCTTTCTTTGCTTCTGCATTTCAGGTGGACATGGATTGGCGTCCTTGTAATGGATGATGAAAATGGTGAAAGATTTCTGCAAACATTGTTGCCAATGTTTTCCCAGAAAGGTGTCTGCTCTGCCTTCATAAGCAGAGTGCCTACATTAACTACTGACTCCCAAATTGATGAAATACTAAATGATGGGACAAAAATATATACTGAAGTAATGAATAGCAAAGCGAATGTTGTCCTGTTTTATGGAGAATCTAAATCCATGGTGTTTTTGAGATGGATTCCATATTTTGCAGAAAATCCACCATGTCTACCCAGAAGTATAGTGTGGATAACAACAGCCCAAATGGAACTCGCTTCACAATTTTATCAAAGGGATTGGGAAACAGAAATATTTCATGGTGTCCTCTCCTTCACAGTTCACTCCAATGACATACCAGATTTCAAATCATTTGTTGAGAAACGAAATCCTTCCCATGCAAAAGGAGATGGTTTTATCACGGGCTTCTGGCAACAAGCCTTTGGCTGTGTATTCCCAAATCCAGATATGGGAGATGTGAAAGGGGATATTTGCACTGGGAAGGAGAAATTGGAGAGCCTTTCAGCACCATTTTTTGAAATGAGCATGTCAGGCCACAGCTACAACATATACAATGCTGTCTATGCTGTTGCCTATGCTTTACATGGTATGTCCTCATCTATATTCAGACACAGAGCAACGGAAGTTAAAGTGGGAGTGAAGCATCAGAATAAACAAATGTGGCAGGTAATGGGCTCTGTTTCAAGTGGTACAGCACCAGAAGCAGTGCATGCTGGAGATGTACATGATATTGCATATACTGTGGGCCTGCCCCAAAATCACATTTTGGGAGGTGGAGAAGAAGATATAACTGAAATTGAATGTGTGTGTGTGTGTGTGAGAGAGAGAGAGAGAGAGAGAGAGAAGTGAAATAAAATAACATCTTTCCTTCAGGAAACCGCTAAATGTTTGTTGAAGGCCTTTTTGCCATAACCACCTTATCTAGTGGAAATCCTTGTCTTTAGACCTCTTTCCCAACTGTTGTGTTGCTTGTTAATTCTATAATCAGGATGTATTTATATATTTTATTTAACAATTTTGTAATTGATCCTT